CAATCAGAAAGATGAATTTGGATATGGGGCTGCATCCAGATGAGGGGGCAGCATGGCACTCCGTGCCTTGCGTAGAGAGCGTCGTCCAACTTGTGTCATGCTGCTCGCTGATTTGGATTCGTGTGGTGTGCCAGGGCCATGAGCTGTGCGACGCTGCGGGTACGCCGTCCAGCTTTCGACATCAGATTACTCTTTGAAGAGCGTGCGATTGTCCTGTTCTTCACATGGCAGTTACCCACCGATCGTTGGCTTCTTGTCGCGCCGTTTGCCTGCATCTCGCTCGTCCGCTCCTTGACGTGGTCGATTAGTGACGTGAAACATGTAAGTGGATGCGGTGGCCGGGACCCGCTTCGTCCCGATGCCTGACATGCAGACCACCGAGGGCAGGGACGTGCGCCGGCCAATTCTCTCTGCATCGTGTTGGCAGCTACGGTACATGTCGGTTTCTCGACATTGGCGCGTGGCAACCAGAACTTGTCGTGTAGATCATTGCGAAGAATGGGAAACCACTTCGTCCAGTTTTTGCGTCCGGTGTGGCAGCTACTGTACATGTCAGCTTCGCAACGTAGTTGCATGGCGACGGCCAGTTTCGCCGTCAGATCATTGTGGAGTGGCGGGGACCGCATCGACCGCCCGGGCTATCAGCATTCAGACTCGGACGAAGGTCGCCATGTAGGCGCGAAGACGGACAAAGGTGCTGCTTCGTCCAATGCCTTCGTGTGGACAGCGTCGTCCGGTTCCAGACATGCCGCTCGCTGATGTGGAGCCTGTGCCGAGACGCAGTCGCAGGGGTTTGTGCCGTCTAACTGTCAACTATGGCGATGGCGGTCATTGTGCAAACCTTGACAAGCAGATCACCGTAGCACGCGCGGACTTGGCACATTCTTCGGGTGCACGCGACGTCGCAGCTAAAGTCGGTTTCCTGACGTTGTCTGGTGGCATCTCCTGCTGCCGCGTACGACCTGCCGCGTCCGTCGCTTCCTGCCGTCCAGTCTCTGCTTGTCATCGGCTACAGCTTATGTCACTTACCTGACGTCGTTGCGTGGAGGTGTGTCCATTCTATGCAAGACGTTATGGGGCCACAGGGCCTGATTCTGGGTGTGTAGCTCTAGGTCGATAAGCTGCTGCCGCGTCCGATGGTGACCACGCTATTCCGATGACACGCATGTGGACGCAAGTCCAGAGTACGGCCAGCAACGTCACGATGGCGATCACTTAGCCGTTACTGTACGTTTGCATTACGGACTTACGGTAGCCACACCATCTTCTGGGCCTGTCCTTTATCCAATCACAGTTATAGCCACGGCCGGTATTGGCCAGGTAGAGTAAAGGCGAGGATACGGTGTTCTTTTGATGTGTCCAGAAGCTGGTCTAGGACAGGGTGGTGATGGAGGTAGTCGTATTTGGACATTGCTTCGACCATGACGCTTTTGTGGCTCTTACGATCGTAAGAGACCCAAGGCCAGAATAGTTCGCAGCAACAAGCCGCCATAGTGGCAATTGGATGCGAGGGCCGTCGCGGCAAAATCATGCCTGTTGCGGCCACTTGTCCAGCTGGAGAGAATGCAACCGGCAATTTGCAAGGCAAAGGCAGAGACCAGCCTTCTTTTAGTGGGCAAAGGGTTACAGATTTGTCGACTACCTGCCGGGTCGGGGGTGCGGGAGTTGCACCTCATGGCGGCAAGAGGCAGATCACCGTCAGGACACGCGATCTTGGCACAATTCTCCAGGTGCACGCTACTGTACATCGCAGCTGAAAGCCGGTTTGTCGACATCGTCTGGTGGCTTCTCGTGCTGCCGCGTCCATCGTTTCCTGCCGTCTAGTTTCTGCACGTTGTTGGCATCTACAGGTCATGGCACCTTCTCGTCGTGACGTGGGTGCGTCCACTTCTATGCAGGACATTATTTATGGCTTCGCAGGACCTGATTCTGGATGTCTAGATATTGTGCGGTATACTGCCGCCGCGTCCGAAGGGCCAGTTGCCCAGTTGGAGAACATTTGCAACGCCAGTGGCACCGAAAAGCAGAAACCAGCCTTCTGTCCTGATGTGGGCAAAGGGCGGGTCAGCTCCCAAGTGGCCATCTTGTCGACTACGGTACCTGCAGCCCGGTCGGTTGGAGGTGCGGGAATAGCACCCCATGGCGGCAGAAGGTGAACTTCCGCGACCTCATCCACCCCCCCAGAAACTCATCCCCGCAGCCAAAGCCAGCCCTGATATTCCCATTCCTGGAAGACATGGTGAAAGGCCACAAGCTCCGTGCGTACCTGCATCATCCAGGTCCTGATGAGTTCTGAGGACATACAGAAGGAGGCCATGCAAGACCACAACTGACCACCCGAAGCGGAGGAGGGGGGTGGTCACAGCGGACCCAAGCTGGCAGGAAGTGGACAATCGCCCCTCCTTCCCCAGCCACCCCCACGACAAACCCGGTCTCGGCAGGGCCACAAAGCTGCGTCGACCAGTTCCTGACGATCCTTACCGTTTACGTGAAGATCATGGAAGACCACTTGTAGCCTTCTGTAGGCGTGGTGTGGGACGCCGAGGCCTGGTTTAATGAGTTGCTGCCGCATTGGCAGCCAGCGCTGGTTGTGGGACCTCGCGGCCATTTACCCTTTGGCGGCAACAAGGGAGGCACGCGGCGCCTTCGCGAATGGCCCTTGGGGCACTTGTGCGAACTGTCGGAGCTGGCTTGACGACCCAAGACCTAGGGCGGACGTGGCGGCTGGAGAGTGCTGAACACTGGCGGCAGTATGGATTTAAGGTCACAGGTGCGACGAGTGTGTCGAGCGCAAAGGATACAGCCATGGGGTTTAGCGCTTGTGAGAAAGGAGGCATACAAGCGTGCCACCGTAGTTTTGCTTGAACTTTGATGTCAATCTTTTGGGCTCCCCCACTTCACAGATAGTCTTACAGTACCTGTCCCTGGGTTACCAAGCAGGCAGCAGCTGCCGAGCCCTGCGGTGCGTCGCAATTGCTACCGGGTGTTTCATGCTTTAATAACCCGGAATAGGGTTCCTCGAAATTATCCCGATGTCGTGTCGTCTATGACGGCCTTAGCGACGCGCGTGCAAGTGATGCCAACATCGGGCTTCTCGTTCACAGCACACGCACTATTCCCAGTGTTTCTGCTCGGGTTGTTGGCGGCATGTCACGACCATAGGGCGGGATCGAAGAGCTGGTTTAATGAGGCTGTTTCAAGTCCAAGTCCAGTAAAGGCCCTCCAACATATCTGGCGCTGGATCGATGTGAAGATAAAACTACCTCCTAGTGGGTTTGCTGACGCGCTGGCCATATGTAATCGGGTCGCCTGGTGGGAGCAACTTGTCAAACAAGTTAATAACCGCGAGGAAGAGATGCTATGCGTGACATGATGCCTGGCTAATGGTACTGTATCTCTCCACGTACGATGAGATCATTTGCTACCGGTGTAGTTGTGGTGGCAATACGCACAAGACCACTACGGTCTTTGTTTGCTTTTCTGAAGGGAGAGTATGTGTAACGGGCTGAGCCGTTGGTGTGCATTCGGCTACCGCCGATGCTGGTAACGCCACCAAATGAGGGTCTCACAGCCTGCCCCTGAGCGTCGACTATATGTCGCTAGGTAGCCAGCTCCTCGAGAGCCTTCTGTTTCTCTCCTCTGCAATGCAATCAATTTGTTGGTTTCTAGCACGCTTCTGGCTGAATAAGCCCCGTGCCCCTTACATCTTGATTGCATTCGCATCACGGAACACACTAACGGCGTGCGCAACAGTACCTACAACGGTACCCGCACGATAAGGAACGAGTTCGAAACGTACATAATACTGCCCATCATAAGTATTCGCACAAATAAGAAGAGCTACGGAACAATGGATCAACAGATGCAAGGAGGACCACCACTAGGGTCCCCCACGCGAGATCCACAAGGACAGCAGCCGGCGCAACAGATTTACGAGCAAATTTGGAGCCAACTGCAAACTGATCTCAACACCAGATTCGCCCACATCAATGACCAGAACGTTGCTCAACACCAATTGCTGCAGAACCTCCCGATCGAAGTTTTTGATATCGAGCGTCATGCAGTAGGTCTCGACGAGAAGCACCGAGTAACACTGGGAGGCGGCTGCAGTATACAGCCCCCCTTGGCTAGATCGAATGCCTGCTTGGTCACGGCCAAGGTTGAGAAAAATATATCCGGCGGCAATACTCATCAGGGTGGCGCCCAAGATACAAGCCGACATGCCCAACCCAGGCTTCGAAATCGATCGTATCGATCGATTCCGAGCCCTAATCGATCGATTGGTATCCTGTTGATATCGATCGTCACCATCCATCGATCGAGCGGCCGTCGCTGTCCATCGATATCAATCGATCACTGGTGCGATCGACATCGATCGATATGATCGATATCGATCAGCGGACAAATCCATCAAATACTAGTCCTCCTCGCCTCTACCCTCCTTAATCCGGCCCACCAGTTGAAGAACCTGCCTCCAATTGTCCCCTTCGAGGAGACTAAGAGGGAGAGTTGGCTGATAAATGCCAGCCTTACTCCAGGAACGAAGGCACTGGGCCATCGCTATTATGTGTCGCCGCAGGCGGGATCTAAGTGGTGATACCATCCTCCCGCAACTGCTGAAATGTCTCTCCGTTTCGGCCGAGGATGACGGTATAGTGAGAAAGTCAACGGCCATATGAGACAGCCGAGGAAATCGCACAACGCCGACGTCTCTCCACCAGGCAATGGGGTCAGCTTTGTACGCCATGTTATCCACTGGGGGTTCTGATAGGTACTGATCCAGCTCGTCCTGTGCCGGCAGCACAGCTGGCTGCTTTGGTCGTTGTTTTGGCCGACCTTGCGGGGCAGAGGCCGCAGAGCAGGCCATTGATCGGCTAAATGCCAATCGGCGCTCAATATAGTCCAAGGAACCTTGGCTCCCACCTGCTAAACAGCCATGACCGGCATCCTCAAGACCCATGTTCTTATACCTCTCTTCCCAGGCCTTTGTTAAGCTTCGTTCATACGTCCTCTTCCACTCCGAGGTCTGACGGGACGGCAGCTGGTTCCAAAGTTGCTCTAGAGTCCGCCATTTCTTACAAGGGTGGAATACAACTGCGGCAACATAAGCAGTAGATGTCAGCTTGCCATAGTAGTCGTTTAGTTTCTTCCACCCGAGCTTGATGTAGATCTTCAGAAGCCTCCGGGTCTTCGCGTCCATACCGTCGAATAGGAGAACCTCTCTCATTACCTTGTCGTCATCCTCTTCGATGATCACTCCCTGCACGGCCAGTTCGAGGTGGTCAGGCAGCATCTCCACCACCTGGAAATACTCGTCAAAGCCGCCTGACGTGGAGCGTTTACCAGCAAGACCTTCGCCCTGCAGTTGCTTTGAGGCGACTTTAAATGGCTGCAGGATCTTCTGAAGTGCGGAAACAACCTTCCATTCATCAAGAGAAATCCTTTCTGAAAGTATCGCCGGCTTGTCCTGTTCCTTGCCTCCTTGGTTGATCCATCGTTCCTCGATGATGGAGATCATTCTGTTCAAAGCCGAGCGTTTGAGCAGAGCCCGTGAGGCCATTGCTTCATCGGATTGCCAACGAGTACAGCCGTTTTGAACCCACGAGAGAACAGGCTCAGCAGGGTTGGCTTGCCGTTGAGCCTCGCGAAAGTCTTCGACAAGTTGGCTGCTCATTCGAAAGGCTACGCCAATATTGTGTAGCTTGCCAAAGGGCCCAAACTTGCGGTATTTGTCCAGCTCCTCAGCGTTGATGACCTTGGGTACTGGGAACTGGCCCTGACTCTCCTCAGCGACCGTCTCAACCTCGCAGTATTCATCATTGTCATCTGAGCTTTGCTCAGAGAAATCCTCGTCCGCCGCTAGCTCATTGATAGCCTCGGACAGCTGCTTCTGATCCTCTTCGTCAGAAATGAAGTCCTTGTCACCCCAATGAGCAAGCAACTCGTCAAAGTTATCCCTCTTGGTCCCGTACATCATGGCCCGCACAGCCAGGTTCAGAAAATGTGGCGGGCAGCGAATGCGACGCTCAACCCAGTCGAAATCGAACTCTGCGGCGAGTGCTTCCATTGCCGTATCATCTCAAGGGGAAAACGACGAGGTGGACAGAAGAAATGGTACGTCAAGTCCTGATGTGAGTTTGTTGCAGTGGACGTTTGTTTTCGCATTGATCGAGTTATCCCTGAAGGACCCTGGGGATATGAAACGATTGTTTGATTCTGGAGGCTTACACGTCGGGTACAGGACGAGAAACTCCGCAAGGCGCTCCAGTACTACGAGAGAAAAAAATGGCGAATGGTCGCCCACAAGATCGGCTCTGGTTTCACGCCGGCGGCATGCCGGGAGCGGTCTCACCAGCTCGCAGCCGGTGGAAAGATGGCCGAGACGGAGGGGCAGCTGTGGCAGTCGTTGTCGGCCAAAGCGCCATCGCTGCCAGAGTCGTGGAGAGGCCGACAACACACGGGCTAAGGGCTTGGGTATCGACCTGGTACGAATTCCCGGGACTCAATTGAGCAGTTTTAGTACTTAGGGCTTCATGCTGAGTTTGTGTTACCAGAACTATGGGCCCAATGTGTCTTGTCCTCCTTCCCACACTTAGGATTTTTCTTCTCACAGCGCCAAACAGACTGTTGGCCCTTTGTCGTCAGGTCACCACATGGGTAACCGTGTCGAGACCCTCGACTCGGAACTGGTGGCGTCTTTATGGGAGGCTCGTGGTGGTGTGGGGTCAATTTGGGCGGGAAGGTCCCCTATGAATCGGGTACCGCAATAATCTTGATGTGGAACTTGTGATCGCATTATTAGCCTTAAGAATACTGCTGCTGCCTGCTTGCTACAAGCGAGCCATCTGATCTTACCAGCAGTTTGGCGTTCCCGCACTCGTGACCACTACATGACGAGGTTACGGCACTGGCTCGGCCGCTGGGGTGTTCGCGGAGGGAGGAGCACGCACTCGCACGACATGGAGTGAGACGACTTGCTATTTGGTAATAGGGGGGTGAGGCGTAACCCTCCACATCCCCCCTTGCAAGCGTTGTTGTTTCGCTCAAAATCTGAGGGATGCCGCGAAGGGATTTTCACTAATTCATCCATCAATCATTTTGGTATATATTCGGCGACCGTCAGACTAGTTGGAGCTCGCGAGGATATTGGCGGCCTCCTCCCAGCGTCGAGACACAGCAATCTCGGTGACCGTGCGACCAAGCTCGTCCTTGACGCTGAGGTCGACACCGCAACACTTGCACAGCTTCTGTAGCACTGCAGCGTCGCCGTTTTCGAGTGCCTGCATGATGCCGTTCCAACCCCGGTACATCTTGTTTGGATCGGCACCCTTGTCGACAAGCATGTCGAGGATCTCGTCGATACCAGCAGCGCCTTCCTGGCGACGACGCAGTGCCTTGACAATGGGCAGATGCTCGCCAGGGGCGTTGACATCGGCGCCGCCTTCCGTGATGAGGAAGGCCACAATATCGCGGCGTCCCTCGCGGATGGCCGTGGTCAGGGGCGAGAAGACGCCGCCATTGCGGTCTTCAACCGAGACGCCCGCCGCGAGCAGGAGCTTGACTGACTCGAGTTGATTGGCCATGACGGCGCGCTCCATGAGGCCCTTGAAGGCACGTGGCTCCGGCAGCACGGCGAGGATGCGACGGAGCATGTCCGGGTTGCGCACCGCCATGCACACGGGCCAGTCTTGGCCGCGGATGTTGGGGTTGGCGCCGCGTCGCAGCAACTCGTCGACGAGCTCGACACGGTTATCACGGATGGCGCTCGTGAGCGCCGTGCGACCCGTGGGCGACTTATCGTCAGGGTCGAGCCCCTGATCGAGGAGCCATCGCATGGCCTCGGAGTTGTTGGACGATACAGCCGTCTCGAGGATACCCCTAGGCGAGGCAAGGTTGGCTCCCGCGGCCACTAGGGCTGGTAGGAAGTGAACGCGGTTGTGTGTGATGCACTTGAACGCGGGATATTCGCTAGCGGGAACGTTGGGATCCGCGCCGTGGCTCAGCAGAAGCTTGAAGATTTCGCTACGGTTGTCGCGAATCGCAGTACACAACGGCGTGTATATGCCATCCTTCTTGGCGTTGGGGTCGACACCGGCCTCAAGAAGGATTCGGATTGACTCAATGTTGTTGATACTGGCTGCCAACTCCATGACACCCGGGGCTTTCTTGTAGTCGGCGCCGTGCGCGAGCACGAGTTTCAAGCACGCAGGATGATACATGGACGGCCACAGCATATGCTTGGGGCCGGGTAGGTTGGCGTTTGCCCCACCCTCGAGTAGGCTGTTGACGATGTCCGCCCTACCTGCGGTGATGGCCTCGAAGAGCGCTGTCTTGCCTTCGCGGTTCTTGCCGTCGGGATCTGCTCCGCTGCTGAGAAGCATGTCGACGACCGTCTTCGAGGTCTTCTTGTCCATCGGCTTGACAAGAAGCGTGCTGCCGGCGGCCGTCATTTGCTTCGCGTTACCGCCATACATGAGCAGTAGATGCGTCAGGCGCACATTGTCAGCAGCGACTGCCACTGACAGGGGAGTCTCTGAGTCAGGTCCGGCCGACAGGTTCGGGTCGGCGCCATACTTGAGCAACGCGACAGCCGCCGACATGAACGAATTCTTCACGGCCGCCACGAGGGGGCAGACGCCGTCGTGGCGGTCCGTCTCGTTGGGGTCGGCACCGTACAGCAGCAGCAGTCGCAGTGCCTCACCATTGTGTGAAACAATGGCCTTGTTGAGCGCATGAGAGCTGGCTGCGCCCGACATCGGCGAGACGCCCCTATCCAGGAGCTGTGTGAGAAGGCGGTGGTCGTTGGCACACACGGCACCAACCAGGGCCTCATGAGAACCCGCCTTGTCCTCGTCAATGTTGTTTCGGGGTCGTCGTCGAGGCATGGTGAAGGGCTCGCTCTTGACATATGATATCTTGGGGCTATCGAGATCTAACAGCTCCACGTCTTCAACGAGGGCTTCGAGTTCCAGGCTCGTCTCCGGGGTTTCGCGAGAGGCACTGAGCCCTAATGCGGCCGCGCCAGCCCCTGGCTTGCGCCGCTTCAATGGTTGTTCAATGTTGCCATTAGAGAAACCGGTGGTTGACGGGTTCGTATATAGTGTCAGCGGACTGCCCTGATGTACTGACGAATGCGCAAAATTGCTGCTTTCGCCGCTCAGGGACGACTCGTGGCTCAACAGGACGGATCTTTCCACGCCGGAGTGCGGAGTCGGCTGGAAGGACAAGGCTCCCTGGTAGACGACGGGAAGCCGAGATTGACCAATACCACCTTGCGTGGTTGCCAGTCCAGGTGGCCGAGCGTACGTCGTCTGGCCCTTGTGTGCATCCTCGGAAGCGATACTGCCAGCTCGCTTACGTCGCAGATCCAAGTCTTCGAGTGCCGACAATAGGCCAATGTATCCTATCCCCAGCTCACCCTCGACCTTCTCGGCAGTCACATTCCAGTGAAACATGTAGGCGCTCATTTTGAGGTCCTCACGGATCTTGACCAGCGATGTCGTGAACTTCTCGAGACCCCTCTCGCCAAACATGCGCCCGAAGCCACGCTTCATGCGGCCTATGGATCCCTTGCGCTCGTAGTCGAGCCGTTTCTGTAGAATCTGGTCGAGCGCGCGAAATTGGCTCAGCGCCATGCGCAACTTCTTGTCCAAGACGGCGATCATGTCAAGAGGCGCTGACTGTCCTTGGCGCACGGCGTCGGCGAGGCCAGCCTCGATCAAGAATAACACCTCGCAGGTGTCGAGAAGGTCGTTGGCGAGCACATCGAAACCGTGGGGGAGGTGCTTGACTAGAGTGGTACACTCGGCCATCGACTCTGCTACACGGTCGGCTGCCGCCGCGGTGTTGCTGCAGAGCTGGAGGCACTCCGTGCCCGCCTTGGACGAGTGTGCCATGTTGTTTGCGCGATGGCGAAGAAATGAAGGTGCGGCGACCAGTTGGTGTGGGACCTGCTGTTGATCCGTTGTCCGCGGCAATGGCCAAGAGTGTGACGAGGTGTTGTCCTTGAACTCTGGCTGCTGTTGCTGTTCCTGCGGTTGATGAATTGGACTTGGGGTATCTCTAACAGAACCAGTAGCCACGCTGGTGGTGGAAGCTGACAGCGGCAGACCGAGTGCCTCCCTCAAGTCAAAGAAAGACTCCTTAGCAAGACCAGATGGTGGCGGGCCAGTCGACGTAGGACAGTCTAACAGGTTTGATCTTGTGTCGTCGTGGGGGAGGTCGTGTAGCCCGTAGCTCATGGTGATGTAGTAGAACCCCAGATGGCGGTGACCTCATGAGCAATGAACGACACAGTCCACGGGCATCCGGATGCCTTGCAATCGGGAGGTAACACAAGTAGATCCGCTGGTCGACAGGAGACGACCAGAGGGAGGTCAGGTAGAAAGTCGGGCGCTGTCACTACGAGTACAGTACAGGTTCTTAAGTACGCCACGGTGGCACAGGGTCAATATTTGCTCGAAGCGACTCGGTGCAATATAATGATTGGAGGGCCGCTGGTGCCAGACACGTCAAGGTTCCAACGGGGGATTCGAGGTTTTGACCAAATCTTGGAATGTGCAATGGTGCTCTGTCAACGCACAAAATTGGACAAACGCTGCAGTCTTTGTGGGCCTACACTTCATCAATCTGGCTGCGCACGGACGCAAATACGAGGGCATCAGTAAGTGATCGCTCAACATTCCCTTCAACAGACAGGTCTGGGATCGCACCGAATGTCAATTGACCAGGAGTACGGGTCGAACTTACATGCATCGAACAAGGAAGCAAGGGATTCATGACAACACCCCGAAACCACCTTCAGGCACTGGCAAGGTCACGGGGAGGCGTCAAGAGATCTCCCCATTGACCGAATTGGCCCAACAGCTCTCCCCCAAGCTGGACAGGGTCCTGAGCATGTCGGACATTGTCCGAGAACACAGCTGGTAATCAGCCACCCATGTTACGAATGACGCCACCTATCATCAGCCCTCCGGGAACCAAACGGCCAACCGGCCACACAGCGTTCCGTGGCGCTTGGCGCGTCATGGTCACCACGCGATTCGTTTCGTGTCAAGTTCCTCATCGCCGACTACCAGTGACCGAGGCCTGTGGGATTAGAGAGTGGGCAGGACTAGGAGGAGAGCTTCTGAAATTGAGGGCACATAAGGTGCTGTCCAGAATGCGCAGCAAAATTGAGTACCGTATTGTCTTGTGCAGATACGACTAAGTCCTTACGGACCCGCCCTATACCTAGTCGCTCGCTATAAGTAGCATGCAACGACCCATGGTAGTAGTGATGTCGCACAGCAGGTCAGGCCGCCTCGGTATTAACAATACACAGTAATTCCAGTTGTACCGTATTTTGCAGATGCTGTATGATATCGTGCAGCCCGTAAAGGAGTCCTTACTGCAGAGATTATTCTCATAAATTAACGCCAAAGATGGACACCGTGGACCCAGTGACCCAGGACTTTTGCCGCACCACGGACCCACGCTCCGATTGACATGGCTTCCGTTCATCCCACGCTCCACACAGGACGCGTCACCACGAACTGTAGACGAAAGACTGAGATGACTCCGGCGACGTGGCACTCTGGGACGGAAGAGTCCGGGAGGCCTGTCGTCACCCTGCATTCATTGTCCTCGGAGAATTTAGTGTTCGGCAAATTGCTCCCCTTGACATTGTAACTTGATCTATGGACCATCCACAAGAAATGCTCAAGGAAGACCCCTTGGTGGCCACCCGCGACCCCGCAATGAGCAACAGGTTGGACCCAGTGCGAGGAGATGTGACCCTGCCTGTTGTCAGCCGCCAAATCCAATGGACGACAGGCTTCACTCACCAAAATTCACGGGCCAGCATCACAATGGCTTGAGCACCCTCGCTTCCTGTACTACATCTCCGTCGTTGTTCAAAATATGAAAACACGGTCTCCGCGTATTTAGTCACCTTTACGAGCATGAACAACCTGGCGAACGAGCCCGCTTGCCAAGGAAAGTATAAGGAGGCTGGGTTGATGCATCGACGGACTACAGCCTGTAGGAGACTGTTCTTGGCAACGCAAGGAGCTTCCGCGTCTCAACGTAGCTTAGTGTCCCGCCTTCAGTCCCCAGTAATTACGTCTCTGCAAGACCCTGCCATGTTTGGGGATTGGTACCACCTCAACCTCATTTGCCGAGTCATCTGCCGTTTGAGCTTGCCCCTGCATCAGCCACTGCGGCAGCCTTCCGGATTGCAGAGAGTTCGCTGTGTCAAAATGTGAGATTTATTGGTTGTATTGGCCTTGACCACTGCTCAAGTCAAGAGGACGAAGGTCCGGGTAATATATACACGACAGCGGTGCCCAAGTGGGTCGGGACACACCCACGGCCTGGAACGGAATATCGTTTGACACGCTGAACCCTAGTGTGAGATACGCGCCACCTTATTGTCACTGACCAGGAACGCCAACCTAAACTATGACTCTAGGGTGAATTCTTACAGCAGAATGGCACCCACCTACGGCTGTGTCCTGCAATCATTACCCGTGCCACGCCCCACTTTATTGGCACTCGCGAACTCGCACCACCTAAAGGTGGTGCTGACCACCAAACTTTGAACACCATCAAAATTTGAACACTTCCACCACTACCTACTCAAGAACCTCTTCAGCAACCGCATTTCGTTCCCGGTTTCGTATATTTCGGCGCGGGCTAGCTTTCCGATAGCCCTCCAATGTTGTGCAATCTTTGCAGCTTCAAAAAACCAACGCTTAAAGCCGTTCCTTGCCTTGGCTTCACTCTTGCCAATCTTCTCTCGTGCTCTGTCAAGCTCGTCTTGCTCTCTCCGACGAACCATTGCCCGTCCCTCCTGGACTGTAAGCACTCCGCCGGACTGGAGAACCTTGTTCTTCATCG